GTTACCAAAATGTTTCCAGATGTACAAAAAATTTTCAGGATATATAATAATTTTTCCGAAAATACAGTTGTTTTCCAAATTCACTTTCTCATGTCCTGAGAATTACCTGAATTCCCCTGAAAATCTTCTGCAAATCTACTTAAATTTACCTAAAAGTGCACTGGAAATCTACCTGAAATTCCTCATGAGCAATTATCAGGGGTGTTGCCCCACCCCAGTGAGTTCCAAGCAAACACTCTCTGATTTATTGTTCGTGTATTTCACCTCCCAAAATATTGTGCATCATACTATAGAGCTTAAATTGCTGCATGTTGTCATGCTCTATAGCATGGTTCAAATTTATGAATTTTTATTATATAAAGTATAGCGTTTTACAGAGATTTCAAGCACTGATAAAAATGATAATCTCACATGTGAAATTATTCATGATAATCTCACATGTGAAAATTATCGCCTTTTCAATTATCGCTTTTCTGTAAAAAATATCGCTTTTCATTTAAGACTGTCCTTTATATAATAAACAGAAAAATACATGGGTGGTTGGAAATACCAGATTTATTTTTCGTGTTGAACATGACATCTCACTCGTTCGATGCGCTCACTTGTTCGCTCCGCACTCATGTTCAACACTCGAAATAAATCTGATATTTCGTGCACCCATGTATTATTCTCTATTTGAACTACAACTTGACTGGTTTAAATTATTATCAAGTTATCAGTGATAGTAAAAGTTGCAGATAGAAGTGTTTTGTTTTATATTATTATCAAGTTATCAGTGATCGCAAAACCTCCAAATCCTTAATTTCAAATGTTAGAATGTTAGGGTTTGTAATCCAAGTGAGAATATATACATTTTAAGACCTAACCAGGAACGACTGCGAAAATGCAGCACAAGGTCCTCTGGTAGGAATTGAACCTACGGCCCTGCGATTCCGGTGCAGCGCTCTAACCAACTGAGCTACAGAGGTCAGCAGTTGAGCTTTAACCGTAAGTTCATGTATATTTAAGTAATCGGGTGTGCGGGTTATGATAAGGTGGACTTCAATAATTTGGATTCTTGCACTTCACTTGTTGGGATTAATATTTGAATGTTAGGGTTTGTAATCCAAGTGAGAATATATACATTTGCATATTCTCACTTGGATTACAAACTATTCTCATTTGGATTACAAAATATATACACAAAATATATACATGTACTATACCGGTACATTTGTATATTCTCACTTGGATTACAAAATATTCTCACTTGGATTACAAAATATATACATGTATATATTCTCAATATTATTGTTGATCGGTTTATTTATAGGATTTTATAACAAATAGCAACTATAAAAGTTTGTACCTTGTCTTCACATCGTAATAGCCAATGCTTTTAAATTTACATATTTTAGAATCAGTTCCTTTCCTGGTAACTGCATTTCTAAATGAAATCATCGTGAGTAGTGAGTGCTGAGCAGGCCGTTTTACTATAAACAAATTTTAGGAATTGTTAACAACTTTGAAAAATATATCGTTGCACATTCGGTCACAGTCGGAAAAATGTTCATAGTATGTTGTACCGTCGTTTGCAACTAACGATGAACAGTCGCTCATAAAAACATTCGCGTGATTAGAATCTTCAATGTTTGTCAAGAACAACAACACTTAATTGTTGTTTCCCATGTGTACAATAATAAGTAACAAAACTTTGTCTGAACGTGTTGGGCTAGAGACCTACTGGAAACTTTTACAGGCTTTTTAATGAGAATAGAGAATGTTTTATCTGCAACTGTTCACCCTTAGTTGCCACCGACGGTATTTGACAGCATAAAATTGCCTGTGGCTGTGATAACTGATATAAATAAAATACAGTCTGGTTATACTGACTTGAGTGTGTCATGACAAACTCTTTATTGGAAAATTGTGAAGAAATAGTCGAATATAGAGGGTCGAATATCATACTTCAACTTGTATAGCTACAGTATCATTGGTACATAGCGTTGTGAAGACAAGCCTTTGCTTACCTTTCGCTTCAGCAGTCTTTTTTTCCATGCTTCTCTACGCTTTCCCAGGCGAGCTTCTCTTTCCTCAGCAGTCTCCTCGAGCAACCGTTGTCGTCTTCGCTAGCTCCCTCCTTTTCGCTAGACGTTCGGCTTTCTTGTCGTTTCCTTGCCGCTCTTCATTTGGCTCCATATCTTTTCAATTGGTATTTGATACCGTAATTGTTTTATTAAACTTTTTTATAGAACAAATTGCTTTGAAAGCTGTCAAAGTTTTTTGCAAACGTACAAAATACTGCAGTGCAAAAAGCAAATTATTTTCATGAAGTATCTGTCAGTTGAAGTCGTCAGTTCATCTCACAACAACAAATTTTAAATTTGACCAATCAGTGTTCGCTATTCACGACAGTCCGCTATATTTTGAGATCAGTGAGGATGACCCAGTGAACTCTACTATATACTGGAACGATAACTGCGGCTCAAAAATTGAAGCCAAGATGGCGGAAATTGAAGCTCGTTTTGTAGGTATGATCCAGGCCCCTACGCGGAAATTTACTAAATTCCGTATGAAAAATGTTCATCATTTTATGGGAAATCTTCATAATTTTTCAGCCAATTGTTTGAAAGTCGAGCTTTTCTACGCCTCTAGCGAACTAGAGAAAGTGGTCTTTCAGAAGAAGTAAATTTTAGAAACATTTTGTCATTTTATCTCAACTTATTTGATGAGTGAAAAACAAGTTCAGCAAAAAAGCCGCCAAGAAACATCGGCAAACTTTTGTGTTTTCAGGACTTTCGGTGAGGAATTTGAAAAGAACACAGCGAATATGGACTAAAGTAACATCAATCTTACTTTTTCATTTATTTTTTACCTTTTAGGTAGGCTATGTATCACTAAAAATGAGTATTTTCGTGCAAAAACAGAAACAAATCTTTCAATAAATTTTAACTCTCCCCAGTCCTTTTTCACCTGTCAGAGAACAAATTTTTTCTGAAATTTTAAGAAAAAAATCATTTTTGAAAGTAAAAAACAAAAGCTATCTCCTTTCAGAAGGAAAAAATAACATGCCAGTTAACTGTACAATTCACAAGTGCAAAAGTAATGAATATTATATCAGTAACAAAGAAAATAAGCCAAAAATTTAATTTCACAGGCAAGTGTTTATTTTTGCAACAATGTATTAATCAAGCCTTACTGCAATAATTGTATTACACATCACCTGACATGGATAAATATATAGTATTTTTTAAATAAATTACATACCGACAACATTTGACCATACCAGGCATACAATACACATATATATTTACAGTAAAACTATGTACAGTCAAACTACACAAACTGTAAGTACTCAATGACCACTTCCACAATTGGCCTGAATGCCCATTAACAACAGTTCTACTGTATATCACAAGTGGCAATTGTTCCTTACAAGGCTCTTGTAAAGGTCACAGAGAAACAAATTGTGAAATTAACCCATTGAGTCGCATTGCGCCCTGATGCACATTACTTTATTATTTCACTCTGTCTAACGCCAGATAAGTTTACTCATCAAGGGGATAGCGCTGGCGCTTAATGGGTTAACTAGCCTATCTGCCCATGTGTCTAGTTAACCCATTGAGATGCATTGCACCCTATTTTATTATTTTACTCTGTCTAACGTCAGACTCTTTCTAATGTCAGACTCTTTCTAACGCCAGACAATTTCACTTGTCAAGGGGATAGCGCTGGCGCTTAATGGGTTAATTTAACCATAACAAGTACACTACAAATCAAAGTCTGTTTACACTACAATTGAACACTGTGAACATATCTTCAAGCTGTATGTTTGCCAGAAAGGCAACAGCATCAACAACATGAAGAACCTAAAAAGCAAAATGATTCTGGAAGTTTGTCATAATTTTCTCCTGGATGGCAACAAATCTGTGTTTGCAGACCACGAGCTAGGTGCAAACAAAGATATGATTGAAGGTGACCACCAAGTAAATCTAATAAAGTGGCAGCAGACAAATATTATACATTGTGTCTCTTCATGTACAGGAAGCACTACACACCCCCTGAGGAAATCAGCTTCAGTTGACAGGGTTAGCATGGGTAAATAAAATTTTTCTATCTATCCACAATCATACAGAATGGAATGCCCAGTGACAGGCACCATTTAATGCGCCGACCAATTTATACTGTTAACACCCTCCCGGGCATTTGACAACTTGAGTGGGGAATTTGACCTTTTGAAGTGCTGTTAGGGTAGGGCATTTTACGCTGAGTCACAAGACTGGGGCATTTGACCATTTAATGGGTCGTTCCAGAAAAGATCCACACTTCCCCCACAGAGGAAATTTCTGACGTCCGGAGGGGGAGGGGAGAAAAAATTGTTTCTGATAATAGTAAATGCATTAGGACATCCAAAGGTGGTAGGGGGTTAACTTCCAATTTCCTCCGTGGGGGTGGTATGGATGTTTTCTGGAACGACCCAATACACCAGATTGCGCGAGGTCTGAGATTTATTAAAAAACAAAATTCAAAATGGAGTATACTTTAAACACTTTTGGAAGCTTTATAAAGCATGAGATGTAAGTTGTTTAATACAGAGTCTCATTTATTAAACTGTTGAAGTTACCGTTGAAGTTACCTCAGTGTATGTTTTCACACAATTTCAAACTT